AGGCAGACTAAACTTGGGCAACTATTTATTTCATGCACCTTTCAGTTGAAATGAGTAGAATTAATTCAAAAGTTGATAAAATGATCTTTGTTCTTCTTTTGAATCCTCCAAAACTCATCTAAGATCAAGCTAAGATCATTTTCAACTTATTTTTTATTGTTTTGCACAGTCAAATCTCAACATATTCATATTCTTCGCATTCAACAAATAACGAGTATTCTTTTATTTTGAACATGAAATTATTAAGATTAAAGGCTGACTAATGAGCGTTCAACAATTAAAACAAGTTGCAGACATTCACGGCTGACCTCACCTCATGTGTGTGAATCCTCAAGCAAATATTCATCTAAGAAAATGGGTTCACTGTATTTCTTTCTTTCTTCATTTTTGTCTTATCTCTTTCTCTCCCTTTCACAAGAGATCTCGTCCCTTCTCTCGCTTGTGAGAGCTTTCTCTCCTCCTCTCTCTTTCTCTCTCCTTCATGAGAGATCTCATCCCTTCTCTCTCTTATAAGAGCTCTCTCTTCTCTCTCTCTTTTCCTTCTTCCTTTTCTCCACTTTCCTTCCTTTATTCTTCTCATTTCACCCTTCTATTTTATGTTAAATATTAATAAAATATTTAACTCACTTTATATAAAAATTAAATTAATTTTCATGATAGATTAATCAATCTCCCTGATCATTATGCTAATATTTAACACTTTATACTGGTGTTTGACTTGAGACTTACTTCTATACTAATATTTTATTGTCTTAGTCATAAATATTATTAGATAGTGTATATTTAAACACAACGATAAGTGCACACCAGTAGGACTGATCATTATGAATCTCAATGTCCTAATTTAGATCAAGAGCATGCACATGCACTTCATTATCGCAGAAATCAATCAAATCCTCCTTAGAAAAATCAGAATAATTCCTCAAAATTTTAAAATCATGCCATAAATTCTCAATCATTTCCTAGACTTATTCATACATTTAGACCTCCTCATCAACCACAATATAATGATAAACCCTCTTTTCAGCAAAATACTCATAATTTCCAACAAAGTACTCATTAACCAGCCCAAAATTTCATTTCTTCTTCAAGTTCAATCTCCAATTTCAACCCACAATATCCTAATTCATGTCAAAATCAATCTGATATGAATTCAAATTCAATGCAATAGTGTATGAGGCAAATGATTCAGAAATTTCAAGAAACAAATACATTTATGATGAAGATGGAGCAAATTAGGCAAGAGAACCAGCAAACAACTCTTAGGTTAGAAAAAGAGATAGCTAAGCTAGCCTTGGCTCATTCAAAACGTGAACGCAATAGAAGACAAACGGAATACACTACTTGGGTGCACAAATCTAGAAGAGAAGGCTGAAGATAGTTTGAAAACTTGAGTAAACTTTTGATCATTAAATTAGTGATTTCTGAAAACGAAAGTTGAATTTCATGCATTGAAGAGAATGAAAGTTAAGATGAATATTTCTTGAAATAGTTCATTTTGATATAGAAATATTTTTAATTTTTGATCTTGTAGAAAACTATTCGAATCACATGAATATCTGAATATTTATTTGAATATCATCCCTAGCAGAAAAATAAGAAAATAAATGATTCATGTAAAAGAATTAATAAATAGCTTTAACTTTGTAAGTCTTTTGCTTATTACTAGGGACTAGAAAATTTCAAAGTTGGAGATATTTGTTAAAGCTAGATTTATGTGTTTTAATTAGTTTTATTTGATTTTATTTTGTAGATTTGTAGAATAAATATAATATATATTATTACTTTTAAAAGTTTAAAGTTAAAATACTTAGCCTAATTTTTATTATTAAACTAAAAAGAATAAAATATAAAAATCTTCCACCTACTAGCAAGCTAGCATTTGACAACTCCCCAAGGGGGGGGGGCAGTGGTTCAACAAAGGTAGACTTAGATTGGGGACATTATTTTATTTTGGGAGAAGGGATCTTTGCTGATCATGCTGTCACTTTGATTTATATTCAACTTAAAAGGAATCCCTTCTCCCAAAAAAAAATAATGCCTAAGGCCATCTTGAGAGAAGGCAAAAATGTGGTCCACCTTCACATGAACTTGGTTGCATCACGATGATAGATTTAACCTCTAATTCAAGTTCATCGAATTACTAAAGAGATCCGTCGAAAGACGGGTCGACCACGCTATCACCAAATTCATCAAATATTACTTGCATGAACTTGGTTGCATCACTACGACTTATTTAACCTCTAATTCAAGTTCATTAAATTGTCAAAGGGATCCACTGAAAGAGGGGTCGACCATACTATCACTATCATCTAGGGGGAGAAGGGAAGAGTTGACCACTCGTCAGAGGCCTTGAGTGTAGTCGAGGGAGGAAGGAAGGAACTTGTCAATCGCTGGAGACGTCGATCGTGCAAAAGGAGGGAAGAATGGATTGTTATATTCACTATTGTTGTCAGAGTTTTAAAAATAATTGATAATGTCTGTTTTACTAGATAATATCTTTATATCCCTGACAATGATACATGCGAGAACTTAAGTTCTAGTATCGTGGTGCCACTAGATCAAATGAGCTTGGTCACATGGTGCACTGAGGAATGCAAGATTAACCCGCTGCTGACCACACTATCACTTTGATCTAAGTGGCATTAATAAATCAAATGAGTTTGGTCACCTAGCTTACTAAGTAATGCAAGATCTACCCATTGCTGACTACATTGTCACATTGATTAAAGTGACATTAATAAGATCAAATGAGCTTGGTCAAGTGGTGCACTGAGCAACACAAGATCAACCCACCACTGACCACACTCTCACTTTGATCAAAGTGAGGGTGATAATGTCACCTGCTGCCCCCCCTCTAGGTGTTAAGTGTCGGCTTGCCAACAGGTAAAAGATTTTTATATTTTATCCTTTTTATTTTAATAATTAAAAATTATGCTAAGTATTTCAACTTTAGACTTTTAAATTAACAATATATCTTAGATTTATTCTACAATTTAAAAAAATAAAATCAAATAATAAAACTAATTAAAACACATAAGTCTATTCTATGTAAATTCATAGTGTTTACTGAATTACATTAAAAATTATTATATTTTATATATTTTATAACATGCATATTCTATTGAGTCAAAAAAAAATTATATGATGTTAGATATTCTAATAAATAGAAAAATTCTATTTACATAGAGGAAAATTAGAAATAGTTTAAATTTTAAATAGATTCTCTATAATTTTTAAGTGTTTAATTAGTTGACTAGTGGACCCATTATTGTCGACCCACTATTAGGCTACATACTAGCCCATTCTAATGGGGGGTATTTAAAGGAAGAGAGAGGAGAGAGAAAAGAAAAAAAGCATGCACGATCAGCAGAAATTAACGCTCATAGAGAGAAGATGGAGGAGGGCCATGAGTTGAAGAAGGGGAAATTATGACAAAGACAACTATGACGATGATGATAGTGACAACATTGACAATGGTGGTGAGTCCCATTCTGTGTGACAAGTAGAGAAGAGGCTGAGCATGGTGGTGGCACTCATGACAGCTATAGCAATAGTGGTAATGATAGTAACGGTGGCTGCAAACTCTCATTTTGCATGATAGGCAAAGGAGGAGATAAGCACAACAGTGGCAGCACTCATGATGGCAATAATAGTAGTGGTGGCGACAGCAGTAGTGGCTGCAAACTCTCATTTGGCATGATAGGCAGTGGAGGAAACAAGCACAATGGTAGTAGTGACATTGACGACAAAATGCTCTCAACAAAAACAACAATAGTAGTGGTTGCAAGCTCTCTTACTATGTGACAAGCAGAAGAGGAGTCGAGCACAACACTAACAACATCCACACTCTCAAATTTTGAATTGGGTGTTTTAGTTTCTACACGTGTTTAGTTTTATGTTTCTTTTTCTTTATGAATGCTACAAATAGTGGACTCCATGAGATTTCAACACTCACCAAATTTCAATACACTGACTATGTATTTTCTATAGTTGTGAATATGATCAACGGTTCTCTACCAAACACAACGTTTGTGCTTTGCTAGTAGACTATCTACTAGTAGAGGTGTTTTCACCTCTATCATTTTTCATAGATTATTATATTTCTCGTATCATTTTTTTTCTTTTATTCCTCTGATTTTGAGTTTGTGAAAGATCTAGATAAGTTTTTTAAGTCTATTTTTCTCTTTCTTTCCTTTTTGTGTCTTTAGGCTTGCCCAAACACTAATTTTGAGTTTAAGTCTATAGAAAATATTTGTGCATTGTATAATACCATGTTTTCCCTGTGAATCGACCCAAATCCGTCATGCATTATAAAAAAATTGAAAGCATAATTTTCAAAGATTTGGTTTTAATAAATTCTAAAATTAATTACTTCTTAAAACAATGATTAGAGTAACATCAATATTCAATGTGTCCCTTTCGCACATATGTAAGACCACTCTTCGCAACACACCTAGCTGGCCACTAGTGATGTGAAAGGAGAATGACGTACATGTGCCCTCCATTGGTTCATCCTTAACTACTTTAGCCTCTGCTTGTGACTCTACTCAACTATGCTTTTGACTCACTTGTGAGCCTAACTCATCAGTGGGTTCGTCCTTTTTTATATCTTTTTATTTTATTTTATTTATCTTTATTTATCTTAAAAATAAGATTATAAAAATTAGATAAATTCACATAAAATCTCATAATTAACCAAAAATTCGCATTAATCAACTAAAAACTACTTTTCACAATTTAACACAAATATAAGTCTATTTATTATGACTTAAGATTAAAACTATATTATTAATTAATTATTAACTCATGATAATGAAGAATTATCAGCACACTTTCCCCTATCCCTCTCCCTCTTCTACCCAAATCAATCATACCATTTATCCTAATATTCAATTTGAAAGGTAAAACTAATACATGAAAAAACTATATACATAGAAAGAAGGAAAGAACAATGGTGCATGTAAATGCTTAGACATACTCAATATGGAAATTCAAACTTATACCTTATACACTAATGAAACAACTAAGTTACTTAGCTTGACCTTTACTATGGATCTATCTTCCTCAATCATTTTCTTGTACTTTGAAAATAAAGCTTCAATAATATCACTTCCAAAATGCCTCACTAACAAGGGCTCTAGTACTGCTTGCACACAATTTGTAATGCTTTGTGGTATACTCACTGTAGCATGCTCTAGCAATAAATTTAGACGTGTTTCAAATACTTTTAGGCACTCCACAGAGAATGATGCCTCTTTATGAATCTCTTGTTCCACCTCTAGAGCTAAAGGCAAGTACAATGGCAAATTGAAAGTGTCAACATCCTCCTCCTTGATGTGACCCTAAATATAAAGTTAATTGTCAGGCATTTCTCACAAACTTTTATAAGATGAAATACATTATTTTGATTGAATCATCACTCACATCATAAATGCAAGCTTGAAATTTTTTGAAGCTGAATTCATTTGGATCTAAGTTTGTACAACTTGTAGCTATTTCAAGAAAAATATAAAATTTACAAAGCTTGCTAAAAGATTATGGTGACACATAGCATTCTAATATTCATTTAATTTATTTCACATTTCTCTTACAAATTTGCATGTCACCTATGCCTACAGATATGCTAGAAAATATAATTTTAAAGTATAGAGATCTGAAAAACTAGTTAAGTTATTATTATATACTCAAATAGAGAGAGAAATGGGAGAAGATTTCTTTATTATAAAAGTAATTCATTGTCTCCAACATTATTCTACTGAGGCATCTCTGTCAAATCAACGAATACTTTGTTGACATTGATTTTCATGATTAATAGAACACAAGGTTTTGGAAGCATTTGTATTTATTTTGTGCATAAGTTACTGAAGATGGTTTATATATAGATTAAACATCATCTTTTGACATATTTCTAGACAACCAATCTAACATTTGGGAAACAATGCCCATATCAAGATGTTTTAAGGGAGCCAATATAAAAAGTGAATGTTGGAATTAAATTCTGAATTTATCTGTTAACAACTTGAATGAGGTGACAAGATCCAACAATGAGTGTTGGCACATTGAATTCAAAATAGAGTTTGTAATTGACAACTTCAATTCAAGTGTTTCAACATATTTAGACATAAGGAGAGTATTGATGATCCATCAGTATCAAACAATACAGGAAGTACAAAGAAGAAACTGGAGAACATCAAGTCAAGCCAAGAAACCACATTACATTAACAAATGTCAGCTTGTTGTGTTTGGCTTGAAAGTAGAACCAAATTAGAATAACAGTTTCTTTTCAATTCCTCTCTTACAGGCATGCAAAGAAAAGTGAATTCTAAATACCGAAAGTATTTATCTAAAGTTCAAAGTTATTCATGATCTAGCTATTGTTGACATTGCTTCTAAAAATTTAAGCAATATTTCTCTTTCTAAGTTTTCCATAGTTTTCTAAGTTCCTTTTCTAAAAAATTTCTCCTCCCAAATGATTCGGATCTTCAACAAACTTAGAGAAGCTTACGCCATAGAGATAAGATTAGGCAACTTTCGTTGGAAGGTTAACAGTACATTCTGATACAATAATAAAATTTTCAACATGTGACTGGTAATTAGAGTAGGTATGGAATTTTATAAATATATAAAATATTGTTACAGTATGATTCTGTGTCACATTCATTCATCTTGACTGAAGAAAGAAAGCTGACGGAAAGATGCACTCTCTCCTTGTTATGACTTCTAAGAAATAAATTGCAAATCCAAACTAATAAAATAAATTTATCACCTGAAAATGGTCATAACAGTGTGCAGAAGTATATTTAGTAAATATCAAACAACTGTAGATAAAAGCACATTTCATTATTTTTGATGATGCATATGAAAAGAAATCAAATTAGTAACATGCACCTCTTGAACAAGATCCTTAAGCGCTTGAGATAACAGGTTCCATATGCGAATAAATTCCTCCTGGGCCGGATCCAAACTTGTTCGGACAGGTATGGTCAGTACCATCCGTCCGCCGGCAACTATTTCTACTGATCGAGACTTTAGAAAACCTGAGAAGTCACTCTGGAATTGTCTTGTGTATGCGTCCACCACAGAAGGTAGACTTTCTTCGGAAATGTAGATGTTCCCCTTGTTCAAAAACATCCCGCGCTCTGCTTGAGTCTTTAGTGGATCCTGTAATTCATCTTCCCATGAATAATTTAAGAGAACAAAAAAAATTATCATCCAACACAAACATCTTATTTTCTTAAAATGAAGTCCAGTGTGAACCAAAATCATAGATGAATAACCTGAGAGACATTTAGTGGATGATCCATTGTACACTCATACTATATTACAAATTTGTGATATTTATCTTGCTCTCGTTAACTTATAGGAGCATATGGCAATGGATTTCCAGGAGTCAGTTCAATGCCTATACGTCACTCCAAACAATCATGTTAGAAAAGTCTTCTTATCGGAGATGGAGTAGAAAGGGGAGAGTATAGCAGCGGTTCCCAAACAATCATATAATGATGGAGATGAATTACTTGTATCAGAATCCCAATCTTTGCCTTCTTAGTAGAGGAAACCAAAACATGCATCTTCTTCTAAAAACGAAAATTATCGTCTTCTATGGGTCGGATAAACCTGCGAGAGCCAGTGAAGGCTGGAAGAGGAGTGAAATAAGTGTATGCTCCTGCTCGGAAAAAGCCTCCCATGAAAGGAGCCTGCGGTTCCAGCCACGAAGCAGCGGCATAGGCCCTCTGCTCCTTTCAAGGCCTCACGCTTCTCGTAGAAATCCTGGAGAGAGAGGAAGATGGTATTGAAATCGTTCCCGGGGAGATCGTTCAGGAAAACCTGGACCTCCGGGGGGGTCCGGCCGAACCGTCGGCGTCCCTCCTCGACGCTGTCCAGAACGTTGGCCACGATGGAAAGGGTGTTCGGGCCTGAAGAGCAACCCAGGTCAGCTAAAGTGAGCTTGTCACCATTGATACCACAGATAAGCTTGAAGACGGCTTCTTCCGTGATTGGCCAAGCCTCTTCTACGAAAGTTCTCTGCAGAAAACAAAACGCACATCACAGGGTTTGAGAACCCTAAAAGACCAATGGGACAAAGTGGTAGTAGGCCTTCTTCGTGCCAGGAACCTGAACAGAAGAATTTCTAGCGTAGCTGGTCTCGGCCTCTCCTCCTTTCATCAAAGGTAGGCCACAGCCAGGAGCCTCCATATTGTCTTTCTGCTGTCACAGACCTTCACAAGAGCTCGGACTGGGTGGATGGGGCGGGCGGGGCGGATTGTCCGGGATTACATGAAAGGAAATACGAGATTTTCGTGGGATCTTGTAGCGTTCAGATCTCGTACTCTATTTGTGCTTGTTCAACAAGCAATTGCTTCATGACGAAGGGATGGTGTTGACTAAATAAAACAGGTGATAATGTCGCTGACGTCGGAGATGCGAAAGTGGATTAGATTTTAAGCTCTCCTTAAGACGAAACGGAAAAACGTGGACTGGACAGCGAAGCAGACAGAGATCACAAATTACCACGAATGGACTATCCTTTATCAGCTGGATGGCCGTTGACTCCATCTCCCATCTAGTACTCAACCTCCCGCGAAGATTTTCATTTCCAAATTTGTAAGCTATGCTTTCTTGCGTGCCACGGAATACATATTTCCATTTTGCAGAGTTTGGAAATGGCATGATTGGCTGAAGATGGTGCCCATCCGGAGTATGTGAATCCGACCATCAGTTTTCTTACTGACTGCAGGATTGTCGAATTATTACGCGCTTGAGAAAGAACACTAAACCAGATCATATGGTGTAGCAGTGGTTTCTGAACCATCCAGCGATCTGATCTGCACTGAAATCAGCATTCGTGTTCTTGGCGGAAGGTCGTCAAAGATCGACAGTAAACCCTGAAGTCGGCGATTCCAAGGAGTTAATTTTTGGCATCTATAGAGGGATGACTTTCACTTTACCGCTTCACGATGAGTTTTTGGCAGAACTACCTGCAAGCGTAGACTCCTACATTTCCCGTTGGCCTCTTGAATGGAGCCATTCATCTGCTCCCTAAATCTTGTCCTGACTGGAGATAGAGAGAGAGAGAGAGAGAGAGAGAGAGAGAGAGAAAGAGAGACAGACAGACCGATTTACACGCTCGGCCATGGCGCCCAGATTCACGCGTCCCTCTCCAAGACTAGGCTCCTTCCCTTCTTGCCCACCCCTGGGGGAGCATCTTATCTGGTTTGACGCAAGGTGCGGCCTCATTGCCTTATCCCGCCAGCTATTCAACGAATTGCCGCATCCAGACGTTGTCTCCTGGTCGGCACTCATCTCCGCCTATGCGAACAACTTCTTCAACGTGGAAGCTCTGGCCGCCTTCGTTAGAAAGAACTCGGATTCCCCGTGCAACGGGTTCAACCTTGGAATCCGACATCTTCGTCGCCAACAGCCTCGTCTTGTTCTATGCCAAGCTCGGATTCCCGCCAGATTCCTGGAAGCTCTTCGCCGGCGTCGCTGGCCGGAGCATCGTCTTCTGGAACACCCTCCTGTCGAGCTAGGCCCAGAGGAGATCCTTCGAGGAGGCATTCTGGTTCTTACGCGAACTGGTCGCCGGTGGAAGAAGACCCAACGAGTTCACCCTTTCCTGCCTGGTCGGCACCTTCCCCGGGGGAAGGTCATCCATTGCTGCTCCACTCGGCTCGGGCACTCCATAGACCCCTCTGCGGCCAACGCGCTCGTCGACATGTACCCCAAGCTCGCACACCTCGTCTCTATGGAAGCCGTCTTGGGGGAGACCCCCCTCCGAGATTCGGTCTCCTAGAGCTCCCTCAAAAATGAAAACATTTCTTACATCAAGCACTGTGCTCGTGATTTTAATCGAACGTGAAATTTCTCCTCATTGATTTTCTTTTGCCTTTTTGATCTTTCAAAAAAGAGGGAGAACTGTTATGATGATAAAATTGAGTGAGTGCACAGATTCAGGGGGAGTTCGTGACTAATGAATTTTTAATGAACTTTTACATGTGAATTAAGTGTTTTAAATTTTAGTTTGAAGTTTCAATAAATATTTCATCTTCATGGTGCTACGTCAATATTATATACTTGAATAAATTTTCTCAATGGTTTTGTAAGTTCAAAGAAGGGAGAGATTATTGGTGCCCTTGGTCTTGATAATTATAAGTGAAAAATTTATTGACAAAGTCATTATTAAATATTGATGGTAATTTATGTATGTCACAAATGTAACTCAGATATGCCGTCCATTCATCATAATTATTTTATAAATTATATTTCTTGATTTAATAATCCTATTACTAACAATTGAATTCAAGTTATTAATCATTAAGATTAAGTAATTTTGTTAACCAAAAAGAATATTCGAGCATAAGAGAAAATCAATTGAAGAATTAACCTCAAATGATAGGATAAATATATGGTTGAATGAATATTATTATATCTTTGATTATACATTTCTTCTAACCATATTACGTAATATTTAACATCTCTAAATGATGATAAACATGTTACTTGAATGAAATCATTAAGTAAATGAGAAAATAAAAAAAAAATTAAGTTTCAAACAGAGCATCTCAATGATGGCATGTCAGCTACTTTTGTGGACAAACAGTCAATAGTAAATTTAGTGATTTACATCTGACCTGAACTTCTAACTATTCTTCATCTAGGAAACTCCTAATTCAAATTTGAATAAGAAAACATGAGGGAATAATGAGATTCAAAAATTAAAAGGTTGAAAGGTCATTACTACACATTCTAGAAAATCACAAGTTTTTAAACAAGGTTCTTGACTGTTGGAGATTTGATAAAATTGAGAATTTGTAAAATGAAAAAGATTTATTTATTGAACTAGGTTTATGTATTGAAAAGGAGTTGAACACATAATCTAACTAAACAATTAAGCTCTTCAGCTCATGTGCATCAATGACATATGAAAATGTTGCATCATCATCTCTATCTGATTTCATCAAAATGATCAATCCACCTTCATGATTCTAGCTCTTGATTAGGCCCTAAAATAATTTGGTGATGAGGGGAGGGTGATTTAGGTGAAAACACAAGGTGATGGTAAGTATATGACCTGAAGAGAACAAAGTTTCCAAGGAGATGAACTTGAGATATTTAGGTAGTTGATCCCATGAAAATCATTATGTAGCTTATAAAGAAATTAGTAAATACTACAGGAAAATTTCATTTGAGACTTAAAGTAGTTGAGTGAGGGAAGAAGTAATATAAAATCTTGGTGTTCTATGTAACTGAGAGTTGAGAGGCCTTATCATAATATAAGTGTGTCAACACATATTGCAACACATACATTGAGATTTCACCTCAATGTATGTGACTTTAATTTAAGAAAAATAGGTAAAAATTTAAGAAACTTTAATTCATCCTCCCCCCTCCCCCTCTTAATATTTCACCTAACCTTGTAATTTCAAAAAATATCACATATATAAATAATAATTCAATGTGCATATTTATGACCTATAATGTTGAATTCAATTACTTGGTTGATTTCATCATGCAGAATTACTATGTTGTATATTATTGTGGAAATTATCAATATTTATATAAATAGCCACAATTAGAAAAGTAATGCTTAGTAAATTCAATTCAATAAGAACTTGGGAAATAAAATATGGGTTTAAAATTTCACTCAGTCTATTATATACTCATGGTATTAAATTAATATTTTAAAATAATTTATTTATCAAATTAATTAATTTAATTCAAACTGCCATGTTGATTCTTTTAAATGTAAGTGACTATATTTTAGAAAACGAGATATAAAATATTATGAAATGTCAAAATTAAGATTTTGCAAATTGAGATCATTATTCAATGTGCCTGCTTGACTATTATATTATTTTCAAAGTAATTTGCATAACTTTTAATTGATCAATTATAATCTCATTAAAACACATTATCAATTATGTTCACTTATATCAGAACCTTAAAAAACTCTGAACTAATATGCTTTGGATATAGACACTATGTTTTTCATGAGAATATTCTAACCCTTACAAGACGTATCATATTGGTTTTCCAGCTAGTCTAATTTCAAAGTGTCTTTGAAAATATAGGCATTGGGAGATGGTGGAAATAGGAAAGGCCTTTGAATTGACTTTATTTATAAATATAAAATTTTTTCAATGCATAATTAGTTCTAACTAATCACATGAAACCCCATTTTGCAATCTAGAGAGCAGCAGGACCTTCCACCTTCCACTTTCTTCTAGTATCCAAATGAGAAGAGGAAAATAAGAATCAAGGTGATATCATTTTCCTCTTCATCAAATGTTTAAACAATGCCCACTTCTAGAAACAACCCATGGTGAAAATTTTCATATTCATTGTGAGATAAACATGTGACTAAATCTTCATTTAGTCACTCAAGGGAGCTGACTCATTAGTTAATTGTTGGCCTTCTAGAGCCATGAATCTAGAAGAGAGCTTTAAGATAAAATTATATGGGAGCTGAGTCCAATAACTAGTTGTGATTAGGACATTTGACTAAGTAAAACTCAAGAACAGGATTATTCTTGGAGAGTGGAAATACGCTAGAGGCCAAACCACCTCAAAAACTATCAAGTCTCATGCTGATAGATATAAGAAAATTATACGACTTTGAATTTGAAGAAGAAGACTAAATATTTTTAGTAGAGTTGACCAAAGTTAATATTAGAAAGTGATCAATTCAGCCCCTCTTCCTGATCTAAAGTTCAGCCTTAAATCCATCAATTAGTTGAGAAGAATCAATTAGTCTTTTTTCTATGTTTGAAGAAACAATATATGGAGCAATGATGGTGAAGGAAAGAATCTTTTCAGTCTTCTTAGTTGTCACTCACATAGGAAAATAGTTGGATCTAGCATCTGATATATTAAGCCCCTTCCCTATCTCCAACATAAAAGTTTGCAAAGAAAGTGCTTCATCTCTCTCTCTCCCCCTCCCTCATTCCCTCTTCCTCTTACCTCTTCCAACTAGAATCAATTATACCTTTCTACTGAATATTGAGTTAGAAAGTGTATTACTCTTAAAAGACATAACTAATTCACAATAAAAATGTGCACATATCAATGAGGAAAGAAGAATAATTGCTCCATTGATAGTAAATAAAAGAATCTCAATTATACATTATATAATTTTATGACTTCTTATTAACAAAAAAAAAAAAATTACTTACCTTGGTTTCTATTTTGGATCCATCTTCCTTATCTGGTTTGCTATACTTTGAAAACAAACCTTCAATAATATCACTTCCAAAATTCCTCAAGGACAAAGGCTCTACCATTGCTTGCATACATTTTTTAATAATTTTTCAAGTACTCATTTTAGCATACTCTAGGAATAATTTTAGACCTTCAAATGCTTTTAGGCACTCCTCAAAGAATGACCCCTCTTTATGAATCTCATGTTTCACCTTTGGAGCTGAAGGCCAGTGGAATGGCAAATTGAAAAAGTTGTTATCCTCCTCTATGAAAGAAACTTTTAAGAACAAAATAATCATTCAAATCAGATGTGTCTTTTTTGAATTTTTTAAAAAGAGCTAAATATATTTAGATCAAGTATATACATGGGTAGAAGTCTTGCATAATTGAAGGAAAAAAATCATTTAAAAAGAGTATTTAGAAATTCAGGTAACACATAACATGCTAATAATCATCACAATTATTCATGTTTCTCTTATAAATTTACATGTCCAGGTCTCATGTGCCTACAAATATGTGAGACCATATAATTTCAAATAATATAGATCTAAAAAAGTAGTTATGCGATTATTATGAACCTCATGATTTTGTCCACGAGATTTTGATATTTATTCAATATATTTTAGGTGACAATTTTATGACAATTTTTCAGGTGACAATTCTATTTTAGTAGTTTGGGCTTGTAGGAGGGATAATGCTTTATGAGACTACTATTTTATTTCATAGAAGTCATGACTACAAGAGAGTGAACATCGTGCTTTCAAATTTCTTTCTTCAATTAAGATGAATGAATGTGAGACAGAATTACATAATAAAAATATATTTCAAAAAATTCCGGACATCCTCTAATTACCAATCATATGTTGAAAATTTGAATGTGGTTAGAATGTACCTGTTAGGAGTCTACACAAGTTGGCCTAATCTTAACTCTATGGAGGAAACTTCTCCATACTTGGAAAGTTATCATTTTTAAAGAGAGAATTTTTAAAAACCAACTTAGAATGGGGTGAAACAAGATGAGAAAATTAGTTTTTCTCTTAGAAGCAACGTCAATAATAGGTAGATTATGAATAGTATTACTTATGGGATATATAGACTTTGGATACTTTGAAATCAGTTTCCTCTTCACAAGGGGCTATTCACAAGTATGCAAGTGAGGAGTTGAAAATAAGGTAAAACTCTAATTTTGTTCTATTTTTAAGTTCCAAGATTTTAAAAGTTGATACTTCTTGATGTAATGGAGTTGCTTGGCTTGCATTGAAGTATTATAGTGTATTCCATTCTATGCATTACATACATTCTTCCACGTTGGCAGACTACCAATACTTACCTTGTATCTAAATATTCAGCAAAACATTTGAGTCAAGGTTATTTATTAGGACTTCTATTTTGAATTTAATGTGCCAACACACATTATGGGTTCTTGTCACCTCATCAAGTTATCAATAGATAAATTCAGCATTTAGTTCCTACATGTATTTTTTATATTTCATCCCTTAAAACTTCTTCATATAGGCTTCCTTTCCTACACATTTTAACATTGTGAACATTGGATTGGTTGTCTGGAAAAATTTAGGTATATGATGTTAAAATTATATGTAAACTATCTTGAGTAACTCATGAAAAAGTAAATACAAACTCTTTCTGAACACTATTTTTAGTAATCATGAAAATCACTATGTCAACATAAAGAACTCTAGTCTTTTGTTTTAAACTACAAGCTGAATCTAAAGTACTGTTGACGTCCTCAACTCCCACTCAAGATTAGGAAAGCTTGCAAGCTTCTTGAATCTGCTGCATAGCTATACTAGACAGTTAGCTTTGCTTCTCTTTCCTTCAATAAGAGCTTGCTTGTTATTGCACTTGGTGTGGCTTGCAGTATTCATGCTTTGTTAACATCTTATGTATGTGAATTTGTAGCTTGGATAATATGATAACGTTTTATTGGATATCTTCAGGAGCATGGTAAGATTATGCTAATTGAAAAACTAAAGTCATCCAGTGTATGATTTTCTGTCCCTTCTTGTTACATATGATGTTTTACTCACTGCTCGTTTATGAAAATTTCACTCTCATTTGGATAAACTAAATTTCACTCTATTTCTGAAAATTTCCTTGCCCAGGGTACCAAATCCTTATTGTCTGGTAATTTTTTTTATTTTGAGTATATGGCATGATTCTCATATGGTTACTACAATACTTGGGTGAAGCCCACATTGGGGAGTCAGTTAACATGGGTATGGAAGGAGAATGCAAGCTACAGATGGATGTGCCAAAAGGGCAGATAATGGCACCTACATATTTGTAAAAGAGAGGAGGTACAGGAAGATTAAGACCATGAGGAACAGTAGTGTGAGAGAGAAAAAGAACTCTGTTACCATAGTATGTATTATGAAAGCACTACATTTGAGAAAGAATATTGACTGGGAAACAAAAGTTTCAGAAGACCTGGTGATGTAATACAAAATACTTGTTATACTGCAGGGCTGTCAAGAAAATAAAAACTCTTTTCACATTTATCCATTACGTATGTCTTTTTTTGCTAATTTTTTTACTTTCATATGGCTTTATTTTCATCAGGAAGCATGGGTTCTCAAACCAAAAGGGTCAAAGCCACTGGCAGTTGTGCTCTTTATTGGTGGCATTTTTGTAGGAGCTGCTCAACTTACATGTTACTTGTATCAGATCCTCCCCAGGAGAGACATTGGTGGTACGTATATATGGGCATGCTCGAATAAACTCACCCAGTTTCTATCACCTGATATTTTAATTCGCAATTGGCTGAAGAAGCATATCGTCAGAGTCATCCCACTGATATTCGTCTTGCTTCTTCCTCCGCAAGAATGGTGTGAGTACAAGCCTCGACAGGAAGCTGAGAGGGTCCTGTAATCCATCCATCTCATAGTGACCAAACCGCCAATCTCTTTGGATAAAAGGCCGCCAAGTAGGCTCATCAAGTCCACCTGTAAAAAGAAAAATAATAAGATCCATAAGTATCAAATACAATTCTCTTTATATAATGCTGCTAGTATATCAGGTTATGTAACATCACCATGCAGCAGCTCCCACCCCCTCCCCACTTATTAACTTTTTCTCTGGGAAAAGAAGTCCCCGATGAATGGGTTTTGGGTTAGTTTCCTATTTCTGGTATTATCCCGAATGGATCTGGGAAAGATTCCAAGGTCTCATTACTGAGGCTGCTAATGAAAATAATGGGGAGGTTGGAGCTTCAATCGCTGAAGATGTTGAAGATGACCCATGTAAGAAACCTGAGCCATCATGTTTCATGAAACAGGAGAAAAAAATTACTATATGTGTTGACTCTACCTATCAAACGATTAAATAAGAACAGAATCTAGATACAATCAGAAAAAATCAGACTCCAATACCTCCTTTCCACTGGAATTGCGTATGTCGCATTCCTTCATTCACAAGAGGGAGGGGGAGGGGGAAGGAGAGAGAGAGAGAGAGAGAGAGAGAGAGAGAGGAAGGGGTTGAAATGTTGGGGAGGAGCTCTGGTGGAGAGAGAATCTTTCTCGTACCGCACACATTTCGAAGAAGGTCTTGGTCTGTCATTTCTCAAGAGGTACTTAGGTGCAGAACACCCAATACATAGAACATGAGAGCATGAGTAGGTAAACTAAACAGGAAAGTCAAAACAAAGGATCTGTCATTGGGTCTAGGATCCCAGAAACACGTCCTCATGTACAAATGCGTAGTTGAAAGTATATGCAGAAAATGCGACATGTTACAGACATCTACGACTATTAATGACAAGTCAGAAACGCGAGTGCTGTTCTAAATAATGAGGTGATTTGGGATGAGAAAAAGAAGACAGGGTACTGAAAATGTTAATACCCGAAATGCCAGTTTGATAGCTACATGATTATCTGATATTTCGAAACATACCAGCATACATGCGTCCATTTTTATCAACAGCCCGGTAAAATGGCCTTGTCTTCTGTTCTCTAGCAGCACGTTGAAGTTTATTCCAAGCACGAGCTCTATCTGATTTGGTAACCTTACCTGTACTCACCACCTGAAAGACAAAAAATTCAAAAGGCTTACTTGGTTAAAAATGTATCTCGGAAAACCATGGAATGGCCATAATGGCCATGGACGTATTGGTGACCCATACAAGGAAGCAACAGAAAAACAGATCAACGGAAGCCGAAATTCACACAGCGGTTTTTCACAAAATATTGTCAGAAAGAGAACCACAGGCCTAATTGATCTGTTTGAAAGAAATATATTTATATATATATATATATAAGTATGTAGAATAGTACAAGTACCATCTTTTGTCTTCAAGTTTAACAAGAGATTGTGCGAAAAATTAAACTTATTCATAAACAAGGCAATTGTGTAAAATGAAGAAAATTAATAGTCAATGTTTACCTTGGAAAACAAATGGTATGAAGGGCGGGGATGGCGAGCAAGGTCATTGACACGATCGACTGCTACAAGTCCAAACTTGGGACCATACCCATCAGCCCATTCCCAGTTATCTGAGATTGTCCAAAACAGATAACCAAGTATAGGGACGCCCTACAAAACGTATAAGATAGGCATATTAATCCATAAAACGATGTTCCCTATGCAACTAAAACGCTCGTTTCCAAAAAGAAAGGGGAGAGATTTCTGATGCAAATGAATACCATGGTCATAGCTGCATACACAGCTAACAAATGCTCCAGCAGGTAAGGCCCCCGTATCAAGTCAGTTTCATCAGAAACTCCATTCTCGGAAATAATGAAGGGCACCTTCAAGTGCCTGTATCTTTCATGAAACTGAAGTAGCATACGGTACAGACCATCAGGATAAACGCCCCTTCCTGATTCACTATATTCGTCACTGTCCACAAGCTTCAAACCCGGCCCTGAAAATGTTTCCTGTTCATCATTAACTAAATTAGGACAAGGTTCACTAAATTACTGTGAAAATTTTTCCATGATTTCCAGAAACTAAAACATACCTGCCCATAGTAGTTCATTCCAATGAAGTCTAACTTATCGGAGATGCTGTCTATGTAGGGGAAAAGGGTCAGTGAATTAGCCAATGAAACAGAAGCAATGTCAAAGAGTCCATATGGACGTGTAAATGACACGTGATGTGCAACCCCAACTCTCTGCTTTGATCTGCTCTTGATGAAAATCAAACACAACTATTGATGAGACTCAAGAAAATTTTATGAGGCAAAGGTAAACTTGACATAGATAATTGTAGACGTTTATAATGGTTTATTGAATTTAGACCTTTTTCCATGAATATAGTCATATGCTTCCGAATGTGCAACAGCCATTAAGTTCATAGCTTGATTAAAAACTCCAGTTGGTAGAGTCGATGTGACAGCCTCGAGCATATCAGGCTTTCCACCAGGCCATGCACCAGCGGCATATGTAAGCAGGCAAAATACGTGAGGCTCATTAAAGGTGATCCAGTAGTCAACCAATTCTGAGACTCGATCAACAACAAGCCTGGATTATCACAACACTGAATCATCAGAGAAATTCACAAAATGGCTGGGGGAAAGCATTGGCTTGCAGATAAAACGAATAGGCTGAAAAGAATGATCATAATTTGTATAAATTGAAACACTATTAAACCACAACAGAAATGTACTTTCATTTTTCTTAATTTATTCGTCAATCTCTTAATTTGTCAACAATGGCCACATATCTTGTTCATCCATTGAAAATTTACATGGAAAGGAAGAGTATCTGTATTTTCTCATTTGTCAAACCTTTTCCTTTTGACACTATAGGATTAACAGTTTCACTCTAAAATGAGAACTCCCAGAAGAAATAAAAAATTATCTCGATTGAGATACAGAGGCTGAAATAATTTTAAAATTATTATTTTTTTCCCACATGAATTTAAGACTGGGTTTTAAGAATGAGAATTATTTCAGCTTTAAATCTCGTCAGCCGTGGGTTTCAGTGGTTTCTATGAATTTCTAAGAGTCAAGTGGGAAACTCCCAATGAAATGACATGATTAACTTTTTTCTGTGTAAGTGAAATCAATCATTACTGATAATTCAATCATTAATGGTCTTAACGGTATTGAAATTCCAACTACAGTCCAGTTGATACTAACCGATGACATATTTTCAACTTTCTTAGGATTCTCTAAATAACTGATGACAAAAAGTTTTGAAGAAAAAATACACTGTTGTAGACAGATGATACTAAGTTTATATAACATGAATCCACACCGATTCTGAGGGAAATACATCATAGTGTATGTGTGAAGGGACAAATCGGAGCTTCTCTTTTAGAACCCAAATCAGTAGGAACATCTGCACTTACAGAAAGAAGAATACTATGAATCTTTTTTGTTACTGGTGGAAAAGAGCTAATATGCATGTGTGAAGGGCTTTCCTATATAAGCAGATTTTGCATAAAATATAAAGCACCGAATCGGATTTCATCAACGATTCCCCATTATCCATTATAATGGAAAACTAGAAAGGCAACCATCAGACGTTAATAATAATCCAACACGACAACAAATATCTCTGAAAGGATTTCATTTTTTTTTCTGTTTCTTGTCTGTCAGGGACAAGTTTATAGTGACTAATAAACCCCAAGGATAGTTTACAGAGACCTATAACCCACGACTAAATATGCACAGGCACATGGTAAAAACTCGGTATGAAAGAAGGGCTGCGAACTCAGGTCTCACAACATTAGTAATCAAAATAGATAAGTATGGATGCATAAGACTTACGAAATGTAGTGGGCTACCCAATTCATCATCTTGCAGAACCTCAGAGTTTAACCCTGTGTTGCTTGATCGGACTCATAAAATATATCTAAATTCTTCTGGTGACATGCTGTGGGATACTACACTTTGGTGGCCCGTATTTGGATACTGGTTTCATCCCAGTAGAGAATCAGGATGATTCACACCTAGTACATTGAGTGTGTTGTATCATAAAAGGATGTACGGCATTACACAAGGTTGTTCAAGCCTTCTTGCTGAGGACTGAACATTACCATTGCCAACTCGCAAGGATAATGCTGAAGGTACTTAGCAGCAGTCGCTCTTATAGTCACAAAATATGCCTGAACTTCAGTTTTTTAGACACAAACTGCACGTGAAAGGTCTTACTCACACCATATTTCTCCACTGAACCAGATATCCCTCATCAGTAACGTTCTTTACTAATTATCTAATATTCGCCCTCCCTTTGTCACATTTGTGCCAATTAAGTTCTATTTATTTGATTTCAACGGATTTTAGCTGCCGTGATCAGCAAAGATATGTAAAGATTCAGCTCAAAGAAACGAGCCTGCTCTTTCTGTGGCTTTGTAATTTCACATGCGGGTTCCATTTCCTTTGGCTGTCTCAAGACAAGTAGCTTTCCTCTAGCTCAATTTTTTTTATCTTTTTTCTCATCATCCATTTTTTCATTTTGGGTCTCACTTGAATCATTGTTGAGAAATCTCGCTTCCTACTGAAATCTAGATGTATCACATATGATTGTGGTTGCAAGATCATTGTTAACATACCCAAACCTTCTCCTATGAAAATATCCAAAACAAAACACAACAGAGGTTCCAACAAATGTGAAAACTAACACAGAAATAATATCACACCCAATCAGACAAATAAACATTTGGTGTCAAACGTTATGTCACAAAATGCCAAATTAATTGACACATAGGTCCACATAAATATCATCTTAAAGAAAAGGTAAGAACCAACACCATAGTGGCACGAAGCAATACAATAGTGAGACGAATCGTTGCTAAAGAATCATGCTGGGGAAGTCGCAAAGACTAATATCCATTATGCTTACTATTTACAAGAGTAATACAAAATCTGACTGCCTGTCTACGAAAGATAACGAAAGTATACTCTATTCATTCATGGCTAGGATTGGATACAATGAGATATTTGACTCGTGATGATTATGCATGGTACTATTGGCTTTCGGTCTTGAAAGAGCCTATATCCCGAATCCATATGATTAAAGTCAAAATTCGTTACTTCAAATCCAATGGCTGTCAAAATGATAAAGATAAAGCAAAACTTCAAATAAATAATATATACCCATTGTTTCAAAGTCGAATTTTCACCTTGTAAAATCCATGAAATAGTCAACAGTTTTCTCTGATTTCCATCCTCCATATTCACCAGCCCAAGGTGGAAGCGAATGGTGGAACAATGTGAGCATCACCTTCATTCCATATGAACGAATTCTTTCTATTATCCATCTGTACCTCTCCAGTGCAGCGAAATTAATCTAAGGGAAAAAATTTCAGGCTTTAGTTTTATAATAAATAAACATAGATAAGAGGAAAGTGTCACAAGAAGATTTGTCAAAGATTTGTCATAAACCAAATGTCATCACGCCATATATTTATGACGAGTCTTTAAGTTTTCTGCAAACATTAGTGTCCGATGAATCCATAAAAGTAGACTAATGCGAAAAAAGGTCATGAAAATCTTACACTGTCATTTAGGTTGTTAACCGGTTCCTTGGGCATGATCCTTGTCCAATCTATTCCCATCCGAAAAACACTAACGCCAGTCTCTTTTGCAAGCTTCAATTCAGTGTCAGGATCAGACCAGAATCTTAGTCTCTCCCCTCTGAAACAAAATAAAAATGGAAGCAGTCCGTTATTTTCTGCGTTTCTCTAAGATCAAAGTCAAAAATGCTACATACGGGCGGCAGATGTTGTGCCATGCTGCAATATTGTGGTCGCATGTGTCCTTGGAATCTTCTTCCTCATCACCATTAGTATACTTCTCAAACCCTCTGATGAGGGCCTCCATTGCTAGCTTAACAGGTTTCTTGATCTTTACAACCGTGTTTCCAGGTTCATCCATGGGTACAGGAGCTTCTTGGAATCCAACTTCACCACCAGTAGAAGAAGCTGATGCATCAGCAGGCGTTTCATTCTCAGTATGGTCAGAAGTTCCGCAGGGTTTCTCCACAGCAAATTCAAGCCAGGCATCATTGAGCTTGTCCTCAACATGAGCTGGCGCAGTGGCCAATCCAAAGAAGAACCTTTCATCATTCTCTGAAAGGAAAAAACGAGAAAAAAATCAAGAGAAGAAAAAAAATTAAAAAACTGGAACGAGGTTTTCAAGTTTTTCAACCCTTCGTTTAGTCATCTACAACCCAGTACTCTCCTGATAAGGACCCTTGAGTTGTCTGGACTTAACATTTATGGCATTCTAAAATATCTAATATGCATTAGCACAAAAGGATCAAGGAGTCCATTTAACCAGGGAGATCCTCCGAGGCATCATCGTACGTAAAAGCAAGCACAAAACACTCAAGCATAGAAATAACTGCAAAACCTTCCGGATTTTGAATCCAAAAATATCCCGAATTCTACTGGAATCAGAGACAAAAATGATACTAAGGCGTCCATAAGGAGTTCATGCTGAAATTTTTAAGGGCCGAGATGGCCTTCGAGGCTCCGGAGGCCGTTACCGGCGCCTGGGACGGCATTGAAATCAGCAAGAACTTCAGCCGACTCATCAATGGGCGACCGGAACGGGCGCAGGTTCCGCTTCCGGAAGCGCGAGTAGGAGAAGACGTTCGCCGCCACGGTAATCGTCCCCAGTACACCTGCGAGCTTCGTAGCCGACAGCAGCAGAGATACGAACGCCATGGTTGAAGATAACCTCTCCCGCTCCTCCGTTCCGTTTTTCCGTTGCAAAGAAGGGAAGAGCTTTATTCTTATACCCATAAAATGTTGCGCAATCGCTACTTGAACTAATATTTTTATGATATTGGAGACCAACCCCCAAAGGGACGAAAACATCTGGTTTTGTACGCCTTAATAAAGGATATTAGGGTGATTTCAGAAAATCAAACCGTCCAAGGGGAGAAAAGACAATAATTCTCGGTGATGGAAGATGATGGGACGCCACGTGTAGAGGCTCACCGAATAAGACAGAGACGTGGAATTTGGCCGCCTCGGGGCGCGCCAGAAAGTGGACCCCTGGCGCCGCCTTTGGTGGACGTCTGCTGGCCGTCTGATCCCCACGCATACGATTTATAGCGACAACAAATTTATGAGACATAATCATTTTAATATAGAAAACTGAGTGAGCTTAAGGTGTACGCGTTTCTACGCCGGAGAGGAGGAAGACGTCGGCGGCCTCTAGGCGGCGCCGCCAGGGCCACCGTGTCGCTGTGTTGCAGAAGCCTCTTCTTCCGGTTGGGAAACGGAGACGTCCGACTCGTCGTCGGTGGTCCGCCCCCAGTGGTAAACGGCGGCACCCAGTGGTGGTCGTCAGTCCCATACGAAGAATAATGAGACACCTGCTCTCTCACTCTCTCTCTCCTTCTCATACGACTGCACTGTGTGATGTGCGCATAAATACTCTGCATTTACTCTGCGATGATAACTGCTCATGAAATAATTTTCTCCAAGAAATTTATTTATATAACTCTATGAATTTATTACATGATGATTTTCTGAGAAAACCCATAAAATGATTTTTTTTTAGTTGGCCTCATAAGAGCAAAAATGTACCAAGGAGTCGCTTTCTATTTTCTCAAGAAACTGTACATGCAACCAGAGCCATGATTCCTGATATATATATATATCAGGTCAGATGCTTTAGGAGAGTGGAAGAGACATGCTAGAGATATCAGGGACCTATGGAGCTCTGCTCTGAGCCAGTAATGGCTAAACAGTTCCATTATGCAGTAAACGTCCTTCATTAAGATAATGCTCATGAAAAAAAGCAACGTACAGATAGTGCTGCTGTTCATATGCTCAGTTCAGTAAAAGCAATCTCACCCAGATCTACACCCCGATTGAAGAACACATCACATAATTTTTGGGTTTCTTCGATTTACCTGAAATGATGAGATGAACAATTAATTGAAGCTATTAGAAATCCCTCTCTCACCCTTCATCTCTGAATCTACGTGGCTAGATATATCCACAATGATGTTGCCAGATAGCTATTCGATATGTTTCCTAAGAAAAATAAACCGAATGGGTCATTGAGCTGCACTCAGAAATTATACATGTCCCACTTTTTTCATATATCAGACTGAGAGTGAGTGAGAGTGAGAGTGAGAAAGAGAGAGAGAGAAGCTATCTTTGTCTCCTCTTTTCTTTCAGACTCGCTGCATTCAGAGTCCTTGACCATCGTCATGGTCTGTTGTTCATTGACGTCTATCCCTCTGACCCATCTAATTATTGGGTGGTGTACTGTAAAATTAATTTTCTGAGAGCTTTCTGAGAGTCAACTTTCATGGGGCATCATGATAGGCAATTGAGTAAGGGTTCAAGTCAACTAAGCTGATAAATTAATAACCTTATAGGAAAGAGAGCATTATAATAACTCAATTATGTGAGCAGGGCATAGATTACATTTATTATCCACACAAATTGTGTGGTCCAAATTTTCTGAAGCACAGAAGCAGCTCACCTGATCAAGCCCGAGACAAAAAGGCACTGGACTAATAAGTAGTGGGCATATTATACTGACTCACTTTCTCTATCCGCCAATCTGCAGGTGAAGGAAATAATCAGAAACTCAAATGAACAGATGCATATTCCAGAGCATTAATACTTAAATATCATGAAGATGTTTCAATAGTAGAGCATTATTAATAGTTGAACATATTCATGCAAAAAAACAAGAAATAGCCCTCGATAATGGCAAAGTAACAGATGAAGATCCCAACAGTCTGATGAAAAATAACAGTGAAAACTGGAATTATATCGAATAATGATTGAGGCACCTCTCTCCAACCACAAACGATTGATGTGTGGCAAGATTATATAAAACAAATACATATTTGTTCATGAAATATCGAAAATGATAAAAAAAAGATAAAAAAAAATGTTTACACACACGTTTCAACCCCAGTCAACAAATGGGAGACGTGGATAGCCGCCCTCCAGAGGAGGTCTCAATGACAGGGGTAAAATGCCCCATGAAGCTGTAACTTGATCACCAGTCATATTCCCTGGTTACAACAAGGGAAAATATCAATCGATTGAAAAATGAATAAAGGTGACAATCCGTAGGTTCAAACGTTCTGAATTCCATCCATACATTACTCATAGCATAGAAAGGAACTATATCACTATCGTAAAAGGAACTAAGCTATCTAAAATCTTATTCACTGAAAAGTTAACCCATACAAAAGGTAAATCTGGAATTAAAATAAGGCAATACTTAAGAAAAAAGCACGACAAACAGTTTAATTGAATTATGATAGAGATCAAAAATTTACCCAGGGACGAACTTCTAATAAGTTGACTCCTCACAAAGGATGCTGAATGAGCTGAAGCTGCTGCATCTGGGCCTGTAAAAAAAAAAGTTGATTTCACTGATCCGTATTGAAATAGGTAACATGAAGAAAATCATAGTAATTGACAAAACAACAGTTATGAGCTACAGAATATCAAAGAACCTTGTGAATGAGGTAGATCAGTAAGATTTTGAGAAAGTGTAATCCTCCAGGGGGGTAAATTCAAAGAAAAAAATTCAGAACTCATGCTGCCTTTCTCCAGGATTTGACTTCAAGGTACTAGGGGCTTTTCGAGAATCTGTCTGTAACGTATTATGTTAATCGAGAATCGGCGTTGACTTACAAGAGTAAATTTAGGCGTCAAATTTAATTTTTTTTAAAAAAATGAATATTTTCAGAACACATTCAATTCAGTGAAAAGGGTTCATCAAAGCCAGATCCTAAGGATTGACTTCCTGATCTTGCCCTTTACTGTTCACAGGCTCAAGAACTGTTATTACCTGAGATGAGATGAAAGACAAGCAGAAGGTGAAGCCTAATTCTGTTCCCCCAACTCTACATTCACTTTATTCTTCCGGAGAACCATCTACAGTCTACGGTAAATGGAAACGAGAAAGCAAAGAGTGACAGACAATCACGTCTCAAAAGTGTCCTAAGGAACGAGGCAGATAGGAAAAATAGAGGGAGAAAATATTTCCCTGGACAAGAACCAAACGCTTACCCGGGATCACTTGATTCGCGTTTTGCAGATTCCGCGACGGATGGAAGTATCTGCAACCATCCCCAAACTGACAAAATCCCTTCATTGATGAACAGAAACCATGGGAAATCAGAGAACGAATCCCCAAAATAGATTGCAGATTTCAAGTGGCAAATTAACAAACCGGAAACCCGCGGAAAATCGATACAAGGGTTAGTTATTTGATGATTCCCCTCACCGTCCGAACGAAATTGTTACAGAAGCCGGCTGGGGGGAGCCCCTTTCCGAAAGCCCCGGCGCCAGGCCCAGAACTGTCGACTTCAGCAGAGCGGACGGACGCATACCAGAGGGCTTTCGCGCGTTGGTGCTGGGAACCCTCGAGGTGACGCTTCCGGGCCAAAGGGGTATCTTGAAACTGCTTGTCGCAGTAATCGCAGTAGTACCTTCCCAGCGGCATCCCCAGACAGAATCAGAGAGGAGGAGAGAGGCCCGAGTAGTTACTGGTAATCGCCAGGCCTCGCAGCGGCAATTATAAACGCAAAGAATAGATGGGTCCTGTCGAGACGGGCCAGTGATCAAGACACTCAAGGATTCGAAGCAAACAAAGTTAGACTCGCCTGACTCTTTCCGAGGAATTTTATAGAGTGACGTAAAACAATCACGATAGCTGCCTTCAAAAGCTGTGTGTTCGTTCAAGAACTATTCTGACGACTCCAAAAAAATGGGAACTGAGTGAGATAATTTTTTACCATTTTTTAATGTCTTTTAAGCGGGTGATGACCCAAGATTGTCTCACTTCCGGAGCTTGAAACTTGAAAGCCACCAGGTCAATCCAAACGTACAATCAAGTAATCGCAGGTCAAACGAAGCGATACAATCTACCTCATTATACTTAAAACCAAAGGTGTCACTGAGCAATAAGGAAAGCTTGATAGAGTAAATGTAGGTAGGGAGCCTTAAAACACATGAAAATCGGTGTGCTAATCATTGTCAACCCTTTTATAGCTTAAAATTAATTAGAAATAAAAGAATTAGAAGAAGTAACTGAGGCATGCACATCGCGCATACATATATATCCCTTTGAAGTGCCCAACTTTCCCTTGATACAGTGTTGATATTGAAGCCTTAAAACAGTAAATTTAATGACTTGAGCTAAAGCAGCATGATCTGCTAGTTTAAAGGAGAGGTTCACACTTTCAAGATTAAAAATATAATTGCGACAAGTACTTCAAGTGGATAAAAAAAATACAAAGTCTTGAACATTGTTTAGAAGCATTTTCAGATAATGTTTTCCATTTAAAGTGTTGACGTTCATCTTGCTTGTTGAGTAGCTCTAACACTTTCATCTCAAAATGTCAACATTGTTTCTAGATTTTCTCCATCTAAATTTGATGGCAATCATGTAGTTGAAATCAAGAGAAAGTGTGCTTGCTGTTCTAAATGGGTTGACCATTATACTTCAATTATGAACTCATGACTAGCTCTACAAGATTAAAAATTGCTCTATTAATTTAAAAACATTAGCCAACTTTTGCTATAAAACATTTTTCATAAAACCATGTGAAAAGACATGGCAATTAGTACTTTATAGTTTAAGAGAAAATCCATCTACAATATATAAGATGAATTTATTTGAATTTTTTATAATCAACATTATTTATGTGAAAGAATCTCCTAGTTGTTCCTTAGAATCAAAAAATGAGCATGTTGAATAAGATTTGAATTTATATCATAAATAATATGAAAAGTCTTCGTTTGTTTAGTAAGAATTCTAGGTTCCAAAACTGATTTCTAAAATCAGTATTTAACCAGCTTAAAATCGTTTGAGCAATGAATCATGCCTATGTTTATGAGTGACAGTAATAGTTTTGTTCAGATAACAAATTATTTTGTTGTACTATGAAATACATATCAAAAGAACTTTTTAGGTTGTTAGAAAGACATATCAACTAGATCAATATCATCTATGGTGTATGAATGGTCTCAATTAGTTTAAAGTGTAATGATGATTATAAAATAGATTAGATCAAAAGAATATTCATGTTGGTGTGTATTAGGTCAGCAATAATTTCTTTATAAGTTTGAGAACAGGGTTGTTGTTGAGGACCAACACCACCCTCAAGGCTTGGTCCTCTCACACTAATAGATATAAGCACTAGTAAAACTATCATGAAGCAGACCTCAATGATCCTCAGTTACATCCTCTTACTAGTTTTAAACCTAGTTAGGCATGAATCTATTGCATGCTTGCAACATAGCCATCACTTGTATCAATTGATGTCCATAAGACTTCCATAAGGTCAGTTTGAATCTATTAGACTACTAGGCCTAATATACATTTATAGGAAGCCCAACATTGGGCCTACTATAGTCTAGGTTGTATATAATGATTGGGATAAATAGGAAGGGGCATGATAAGTCTTCATTATCATGAGTTCATAATTAGTAAATAATATAATTTTAGCCATAACTCATAATAAATAGACTTATATTTGTGTTGAAGTATGATTTGTAATTTTTAATTGATTAATGTGAATTTTTGGGTAATTATATAATTTTATATGTTTTTTACAATCTTACTTTTGAGATAAATGAAGAACAAGAAATAAAAATATTACAAAATGGGGGGATCTGCCGACCAACTGGGCCCGCAAGTGAGTCAGAAGTACAATCAGGGAGTAGCTGCGAGTAGGGGCTTGAGTGGCTTGGCTTGGACCGATAGGGGCATGTGTGTGCCACTCTCCTTTCATGTCACTGGTAGCCAGCCGATTATGGGGCAAGGAGTGGTCGTACATGCGAGAGTACTGACTTATAAAGCTAACATTACTATATATTCGCTCAAAAAATCAGCGCACAACCGATGTGGGACTAAACCCGCATCACACCTTCCTCAAAGGCGGGTGACCGGCAAGGGTTCGAATCCTCTCAAAGTCAAAATTCATATATTTTTATCTGATTATCACGACTTTCCTACAAATCGCTGGTGAAGGATTAAGTAACGAGAATCATTGGATCATCGACGACAATCTCGTCAATGCGATTCGCGGAACATTGCTACTAAAATTGTTGAACGATTCACAATAAAAGGATCGCAATCCATCGAGTAAATCATCTCCGATTGATCGACGAACAAGCCGTCATCGGGAAGAGGACGATCTGCTAGGAGACGAGTCACCACCTCCTGAGAGCATACTAGATCTGATTAAGAGCCTCCTCTTGCTGCGCGGACCTGAGGATGAAGCTCCCTGACACGCGCCCCAATTTCATCCAGCTCCTCTCCGTTGGGTGGCAATCGTTGGAGAGCCGCAAAGTCACTGTTTTTCCACTCTGCTGGGTGACAATCATTGGAGAGTCGCAAAGTCACCGTTTTTCCGCTCCACTAGGTGACAGCCGCTAGAGATGATTCGACAACCCACTTCATTGATCTCTAGACTTCGCGAGAAGATCTAGAGATTGCCCATGTCGTCTTTGTCCAAGGAGAGCCTTCGAGGTTGTGGACATTGCACGACGATCCTCCCGAACGCTCAGGATTCTAGTGCATCGTCGACACATCGCCGTTGCGATGCCGGAACTCTATTTTCCTGCTTTCAATTTACTTTACACTTCATTTAGTGATAATTTTTGTGTTTTTAAGTTACCAAAATATACTTTTTTCAATTACGATTCTTTCGACTTTTATAGATCTTAATTTGATTAATTAAATCATCTATAATCACTTATGCAAGAATCACTAGGCAGAACTTTGTTTTTGCCCGATTCGCGTCTGCAAGGCACTAACGTCATCCCAACATCCGCGCCCTTATTTCCCTTTTTTTCATGAATTTTAAATATATTTCCCTTTAATTTCCAAGTATGAAATTCATAAAAAATTGTATTCATTGAAAAAAAATTTGAATAATTACCAGATATTATATTACATCCTTGTGATCGACTTGGAAAATTACTGTTATTTTTGGAAGTTTTATTGAATTATAATTTGATATCTTTATTTAGAAATACTTCTAAATATTTGAAAATTAGTATTTTCTAATTTTATAATGTTAATATTTGCGTGATTTAATATACAATAATTGAGTCATGTCAAATTTTGGCACCGTTGCTGGGGATGTATTGCATAATATTTAGTATTTTTCTATTTTTTTCTTAGAGTACACAAAAAAAAAAATTAACTCTTGTTTTATTTTCTTTTTGCTAATTTTTTATTAGAAAAAGGGAATGAAAAGAAGCAAGGCAAGGACTGGAGCATCCTAAAGGAGGGTAACACTTACTAACTTTTTCCCTCGAATTTATTGATTTTATGCATGGTAGAAGATCCTTACATCTAAGGCTAGAAAATTCTTTCATTATTTCATTCAAAAATAAAAATCCAAAAGAAAAATTAATTTTGATGGATCTTGAAGGAAGTATAAGTCAAACTGAGAATAATCCTATGGCTATGAAAAATCATTATATCCCTAATTCATTTTAAAGAGCATCTAATATTAGAGTCCCATTAGCACCCACTATTAAATTTGAAATAAATCTAAGAATTTTTCAAATGCTACCTAATTTTCATAGATTGCTTTTAGAGGAAACTCATCAGCACCTAGAAAAATTTCATATAGTCTGTGATTTAGTTAATCTCCTTCAAGTTACATCAGAAATTGTTAAGATGAAATTATTCCTTCATACACTTAGGGACAAAGCTAGTCATTGGCTATCCACATTAGATAGATAATTAATTAGCTGGAAAGATATAGAATAGAGCTTTCTTCAAAAATTTTATCTCTTAGGAAAAACTCAAAATATGAGAAAACATATATGAAGTTTTTTTCAAAGACTAGGATAAACTTTGCATGAGACATAAGAAAAATTCAAAGATTTACTTAGAAAGTGTCCTCATCATACTATACCCAAGTGACAGCTCAATAGAATTTTTTATGATAGATTATTAGAACAACATAGAAATATGGTTGATTCTATATGTGGAGGAATTTTTATGGAGAAAGCTCCTGATGAGATTTACAGTCTTTATGAGAATTTAAGTGAAAATTCTAGAGATCAAGCCTCTTTTGAATTATATGATAGGGATAAGAAGAGAGGAATATATGAATTGCATCATGATGATGATTCTAAACTTAGAAATAAGGTTAATCAGATTAATCAAAGATTAGAAAAAATGGATTTACTTATTGACAATATTATAAAGTCTTTTAACCCTCAACTTAATTCGAATAGTACATGTCCTATGTATGGTGAAAATGATTATTCTGAATTTCAATGTTATAATTTAGATCAATCATTTCACCCTATGCAAGAACAAGTGCAAGTAGTTCACAATTTTAATTGAAATAGAGAACCTTTTTCAAATTCTTATAATCCTAATTAGAGGAATAATTTTTCATGGAGAGACCCAAATAATATTCAAAATCTAGAAGCACTTAGACCCAATTCAAATTCTAAATTTCATTCAAAACAAGAAAACAAATTTTAGAAAAATCAACCCTCTCAAACCCAACCTGATACTATGGAAATGATGCAGCAAATGAGCCAAATAATGCAACAAACTATGAATCAAATGATGCAGCACCAGAAACAAATTATAAAGGTCCTTAGGAATAAGAGAGAAGAGGGACAGCTACCTAGTCAGCCCATAGAAAATCCAGGAAACCACCCAACAATAGGATTTCAGCAAAGGGAGTCTAGTAGCATGAATCTAGGAAAAAACCCACAAAATGAAAATGTTAGGACAGTGAATGCATTAAGGAGTGGTAAGATCTTACCTGATCCTTATCCCCAAACATTAGAAGAAAAAGAAAACGTGGACAACCCAAAACAAAATCAAATAAGAGTACAATAGAATTTTATAGATTCTACCAAGGAAATTTCGAAAGAGAGGACAACCATTCCATTTCTTAAAGCTCTAGAGCCTAGACAAAGAAAGAAAAAAGAACACAATGAAGAAATAAAGAAAATTTTACAAGATGTGCAAATTAGTCTTCTTTTACTCACTACCATTGAACATATTCTTGAATATGCTAGAGTTTTGAAAGAAATGTGTACACCAAAAAGGGCACCTAGAATAGAAAAATTATCTATGCATACTAGTACATTATTATTAAATCAATTACCATATAAATTGAGAGATACAGGTGCCCCTTTAATTTCGTGTGATATTAGTGGATCTATTTTTCAAAATGTATTACTTGACACTGGTGCTAGTATTAATTTATTACTTACAAGTATTTGTGATAAATTTAATATTTTTGATCTTAAACCTTCTACTGTTACCTTACAATTTACTGATAGATTTATAAAATATCCTAAAGGTATTTTAGAAAATGTGATAATAATAGTTAAAGAGTGTAAATTTTCAGTTGATTTTGTAGTGCTGGAAATGAATTTTAATGGACAGTTTTATGATACACCAATCATCCTAGGGAGACCATTTTTGCATACAACAAAGATGAATATTGATTTTCCCATAGGTATTGCGATGTCATACCATAGATCTTTTAGATGATTTTGATGATCTAGATGTTATTGATGATTGTGTGTTGGAAGAATTAGAAGAAATAGAGAATATAAATTTGAGAGAAAAGAAAGAGGAAGATCATTTGAATTTAGAGTTGAAACCTCTTCCCTCTTGTTTAAAATATATGTTTTTGGAGGAAAATAATTCATTTCCTGTTATTATTGCAGCTGATTTGAGTGATAAACAGGAAGAAGAATTATTAGATGTACTTCGAAAAAATAAGAAGATTATGGGCTGGAAAATGAACGATCTAAGGGGTATTGATATGAGTGTGTACATGCATAGTATATATCTAAAGGAGGGGGCTATAACTAGTAGGGAACCACAACGAAGATTAAATCCTAAAATGATGGAAATTGTAAAAAAATAAATTTTAAACTGGCTGGCTGTTGATATTATTTATCCTATTTCAGATAGCAAATGGGTTAGTCCTACACAAGTAGTGCCAAAAAAATTAGGGATCACGGTTATAAAAAATGAAATGGGGATGAAATACAAACAAGATTAACTACCGGTTGGTGGTTTGCATTGATTATAGAAAATTAAATTCAGTTACTAGAAAAGATCATTTTCCCCTATCATTTACTGATCAAATTTTTGAAAAATTAGCTAGAAAAAACTTTTTTTGTTTTCTAAATGGATACTCTGGTTATAATCAAATTTATATAAACCCTTTAGATCAAGAAAAAATAACTTTCACTTGTCCATTTGGTACTTTTGCTTTTAAACGAATACCTTTTGGTCTGTGTAATGCTCTAGCCACATTTTAAAGATGTATGCTGTCTATTTTTTCTGATATGATTGGAAAATGCACGAAAATTTTTATAGACGATTTTCTATTTTTGGTGAATCATTTGATGAATGCTTAAATCATTTATAGCTTGTACTTGATAAATGTATAGAGAAAAAATTAGTTTTGAGTTAGGAGAAATCACATTTTATGGTTAAAGAGGGAGTTGTGTTGGGTCATATTATGAGTGAAAGGGGTTTAGAGGTGGGTAGAGCAAAAATTGATATTATATTTAAAATAAAACTTCCAAATTCAGTAAAATAGATTAGATCTTTCTTGGGTCATGAAGGTTATTAAAAAAAATTTATTCAACATTTTTCAAAAATTTATAAACCTCTCACCATGCTATTATCTAAAGATGTGCCTTTTAATTTTGATGAGAAATATTTTGAGTCTTTTTCTGAAATAAAAAGATTACTTACTAAGGCTCCCATTTTACAAGCTCTTGATTGGTCCCTTCCCTTTGAAATAATGTGTGATGCATCGAATTATGTAGTGGGGGCCATTCTAGGATTCGTCAGACCTGGAAAGTGGTGAAAAGTTAAAAGGTCCGTTGAGCACCTAATCACTATGTCATAATAGATCCGAACACTTGCCCCGAATCGACTTCAATATCATAATTGCTCTAGTGAATAACTAAAAATAAATAAATGGATAGATGGTAAGTAACAAAGAAGGGAACTCAGTTGGCCAGCATCAAAGCAGGAGCTTATCCCGATGACACTACTAATGTGGAATACCAAGTGCGAAGGTTATCCATTTATCTTGCTGTCTAGCGGTACTTTTTGGAGCGAAGCTGCCATCCAAAGCATTCTTTCTGGAAATGTTTATGGAAAGGTTGGGTATTCTGCAACCAAAGAAATTCATTATGGAATTTCCAAACAAACAAGGGGGTTCTCTTCTTGCTTCGCCAGTATTGTTAGGTTATTCCAACTGGTTTAAGGTAGTTTTGGATAAAATACCTCTGTCGCAATAGTAATTTTACCTGCTAGTAAAACTATATCCGATGCTCAATTAAATTATACCACGACTAAAAAAGAGTTTTTAGCTGTAGTATTTTTATTAGAAAGGTTTAGATCATATATTTTGGGTGCTAAAATTATTATTTATACTGATTATGCAGTATTAAAATATTTGTTAAATAAGAAAGATGCAAAGCCACATTTATTAAGATGGATTTTATTGTTACAGGAATTTGACTTAGAAATAAAAGATAAAAAAGGTTTTGAGAATGTTGTTGGTGACCATCTTTCTAGATTGAGTGATAAGAATAAATACAGCACCTTTATAAGACGCATTTCCATATGAACAATTGATGGCAGCTCAACATCAACCATCACCATAGCAGAGGAGTGTAAGATGAAGTGGAAAATTAAAAACGAGGTTGAGGTGGTGTCTTTTTGAACTTCATCATTTATGAAAATACTTTTAATGCTTAACTTTGCAGATATGCATGCTTCACTTGAAAATTATATTTTCTACATATTTTGTTTCGATTTTTCTGTGTCATTGAGGACTGTGTCATTTTTAAGTTGGGGGGTGAAGTATTCATTATTAATTTATGCTGTAGGATGATTAAGAACATGTGTTTGCATTTTATTCAACTTCACAACAACTAAAAAAATAAAAATAAAATAAAATGCAGAAAAATCGTAACATCTATTTTTTGGTTTTCTGTCAGAGACAACAAACTGTTAAAAATAGCAGACAAAAAATAGTCTGAAATTTGAAATTCTAAAAGACACTTTTCTCACATTTCAATCTCCTAGATATATATTACTGAAATTCAAAATTACAGCTATAAAGAGGATAGTTTTGATTTATTTTTGACAAATTTATTACTGCTAAAAATAGAACTGAAAATAAAAAACGAAAGTGTCAGAACTATCTAATTTACAAATTCCTTACATCATATTGTATGCATGAAAAATTAAATCAATTAGATTGATTGTTACCAAAAGATACTAGGAAGATTATTATTGAGTCAAAAGAATGATCTAGTAGCATGAAATATTGGAATACTCCTTGGATACATGATAGATAACATAGATTTGATTTTACAGATTTTCATTTCATGATCTTGATGGATAGTATTTACTTGATGTGAAAATTTGATTGATCATTTGAGTTTAATGGAGATTTTTGCACCTTGATCTATAAGACTTGTGAGGAGAAATCACTTATTTTGAAAAAAAAAAAAAAGAGAGTAAGGTGAAAAATCTAGAAACAAAGAGTACACATGGAGGGTGTGAGACATCATTCTCATTGTCAAAAATCGTGCATAGAAAAACACTTGCTGAAAAATAAGTGGATAAAGTGAAAGCCCTGAAAATGAAGAGTACACATGGAGGGTGTGAGACATCATTCTTATTGTCGAAATTTGTCTATAGAAAAAGCTACTTATCCACTATATATATAAAAAAAAAAAGAAGGAAGAAATATAGTGCAAACTTCAAAAATCAAGTCATAGAAAAGGAAAATGTAGGATCAATATTATTCTTGGATGAGTATTGATAATTAGAACATCTTGTAAATACATCTATGAGTGAAGAAGTGATAAAGATGTGAATAGAAGAAGAGAAATCTAGATTGTTATTCTAAAGAGTATTTAAACATTTAAGTACTTGACATCATTCTTAAATACTTGATATAAGAATCCAAAGTGTTTAAAGGTGTATTATTTTTAATTATATTTTTTTTTTTTATTGAAATGTGATGTTTGAGATTTGTAAAATTTTATTTTCGTAATTCTATTGCTAAGGGACTAGCAATGATTTAAGTTGGGCGGTGTGATAAGTCTTTATTATCATGAGTTAATAATTAGTAAATAATATAGTTTTAGTCTTAACTCATGATAAATAGACTTATATTTGTGTTAAAGTATGATTTGTGGTTTTCAGTTGATTAACGGGAATTTTTTTGGTAATTATGTTATTTTATATGATTTTGCAGTCTTACTTTTGAGATAAAAGAAAAACAAGAAATAAAAATATTGCAAAATGGGGGGACCTGCAAGCGGGTCGGAAGCGCAGACAAGGAATAGCCGTGAGCAGGGGCTTGATCGGCTTGGCTTGAACCAATAGGGGCATGTGTGTGCCACTCTCCTTCCACATCACTAGTGGCCAGCCGGCTGTGGGCCAAAGAGTGGTCGTACACGTGAGAGTAGTGACTTTACTTATAAAGCTAACATTACTATATATTCGCTTGAAAAATCGGTGCACAATCGATGTGAGACTAAACCCGCGTCACACCTTCCTTAAAGATGGGCGACTAGCGAGGGTTTGAATCCTCCTAGAGTCAATATTCATATATTTTTATCTGATTATCATGACTTTTCTGTAGATCGCTGGTGAAGGATTAAGCAATGAGAATTGCTTAGTCATCAGTAAAAATCTTGTCAATGTGATTCGCAGAGCATTGCTACTAAAATTGCTAAATGATTCGCAATAAAAGGATCGCAATCTATTGAGTAAATCATCTCCGATTGATTGACGAACAAGCCATCATCGAGAAGAGGACGATCTACTGGGAAACGAGTCACCACCTCTTGAGAGCATATCAGATGCGATGAAGAGCCTCCTCTTGCTGTGGGGACCTGAGGATGAAGCTCCCTAACATGCGCCCCACCTCCATCCAACTCCTCTCCGTCAGGTGACAGCTGCCGGAGAGCCGCAAAGTCGTCGTTTTTCAGCTCCACTAGGTGACAGCCATTGGAGATGATTCAATGACCTACTTCATTGATCTCTAGACTTCACAAGAAGATCTAGAGATTGCCCACATCGCCTTTGTCTAAGAAGAGCCTTCAAGGCCATGGACACTACACGATGATCCTCCCGAACACTCAAGATTCCGGTGCATCGCCGATGCATCGCCATCGTGACACCGGAACTCTATTTTCTTGCTTTCAATTTACTTTATGTTTCATTTGGTGATAATTTTTGTGTTTTTAAGTTACTAAAATATACTTTGTTCAATTACGATTCTTCTGGCTTTTATAGATCTTAATTTGATTAATTAAATCATTTGTAATCGCTTATGTAAGAATCATCGAGCGGAACTCTATTTCTGCCCGATTCACGTCCACCGGGTGCTGACATCATCCCGACATCCACACCCTTATTTCCCTTTTTTTATGAATTTTAAATATATTTCCTTTTTATTTCCTAGTATAAAATTCATAGAAAATCATATTCATTGA